GTGGCGAGAGGACGTGGGAGGGAAGGACTACGGGTAAAACGTGGCCAAATGACGACATAAAAAAAGAGAAATGCCGTTAATGTTAGTTGTTTTTCCGTCTGCAGTTAAGCTAACGTTAGCCAACCGTTGCTACTTTCAAACTTCAACGCTGCAGTGTGACGTCAACGACACTGCCGCGCGCTCCCTCACAACAAACTCATCCTTTGATCAGTTATAAAAACATTAACACACAGTACAGAAGTTAAAACACAACTTGTTGGAGAGGTGTTTCTCCTGCTGCACGAGCCCACAGGAACAAGTAGTCTCAGACCGGAAGTAAACAATACACATTGTTTTGTTACATTATAGTTTTGACACTAGATGGAGCTATAACCATAGACATATAAAGTTATATCTATCTATGGTTATAACTCCTTTAATTTTATTATGTAAAAGGAAAAACAAGACATACAACTCTATTTTCACGATACAGACAAAAGTGGTGAATCTCATCTTATTATTTATAACAAAGGCACTCTTTGCATTGGCATTTATGTAATATAACCATAAACCTAAGCAGATTAATAATGAACAGGTTTTAATTTCTCTTTTTTAAATTTTCCTAGAAAAAATATCTCTTTGTCTAATCTGACAAACACCTCGACATCTTTAATTAAATAATCTTGTAGCAGGATTGTCTGTGAAACCCCAGACAGCATTATACAACACTGAAGATGCTTCATCCTGTTGTTTCGTGTTTCGTGTTTCGTAAGAACTAAACATGGTCCATATGTTCACTCGCCTACTCCTGCAGTGTGTTTTGGTATTTGAAGTCGACTCAGCTTCTCAATCTGCTTGACCAAGAACTGCTTATCACGGCCTTCCTGTAAACCAAAGATTAAATGATTGAAACTGAATGCCTGTGACTATTAGGAAATCAGATAGGCCAACATGAATATTGTCACAATAATACATTAAAAGTGTTTAATTTACAATACACTATACAGGAAAATGCCAACAACTTACCAGCTTAAGCTGAGCTCTTAGCAGGGCAACACTTTTCCCATAGACAGAGGCTAAAGCTATGAAATAACACATCACCACACTGCCAGGGAGAGAAAGGTTATGATTATACACCATAAAACTCGACAGTGAAGGACCATATAATATGCAGGTAAAATGTTTAAGTACGGTACTGTATATATACCAGAATAATAAAAGCACAAATTCACTCACCAAAATAGCACAAACAGAGGGATGGAAAATGCCTGGGAACCAATGAAGAAGAGAAACTCCTCTGTAGTTCCAGAAAGGCTGGAGAAAGATCTTGGAACAATTGACCACATGTTGGGGAAGAAACGGAAAGGACCGCAACCCATGGATGGATGGATCCTGAGTGGAAAGAGGGAAACATCCAATATTTCTAGCACGTTGATTTTTTTTTTATTCGTCACTACCAGTGCTAAACTGAAAAACACTTCTTATTGTTAGAGGGGAGAAGGCAGCAATCAGCACTCACTCAGCAATACTGTAAACCATGACAATTGTGGCCAGGCTCCAGCCAAACAGGAGCACCACCAGGAAAAAGAAGGTGGAGGTGGTGGAGCGAAACGTCTTTAGTGCGGGCCGACAATTATTGAAGAGTGTGATCTGAGGAGGCAATGGAGACAAAATGAGTGACAGAACCACAGCAGAGAGTTGGTGAATAACTGTCTCCATTGTGTGAAATGTTGGCTGTGTTAAAGTGATGTCTTCACCCTCTTGCAGTAGAAGAGGATGAAAAACTTGACGGTGTTGATGAGCGGCAGCAGAGGGCAAAAAAGAGCTCCTGTCCAAACCACAGTCTGACCATAAACCAGCCCAAGCACGTTGGAGGAAACTACGAACTCCTGCCGACCAACCCACTGAGCCAGCTTATTGGACCAGTTGTCCACCACCATCCTGACACACACATAAAAACACAGTGGAAACACATGGCTGAATGTCTCACTCTCAACAAGATCTGACAGACAAACTGTTCACAATGGTGATTTGTACCTGCGTGGAAACTCCACCAGAACGAGTACGGCGATGTTGATGAGGAGGTCAAACAGCGTCAGCTTGTACATCTCCTGTCCTACACGTGTTTCCCAGCACTGCAGGATGAGACAAATGTGACATAATGAACCTTTCTTACAATAGTTCAATTCTGTAAATATTCTTAATGATTCTGTTTCCCCCAAAATCCTTAAAATATGTCTCAATGTAGGCACTGTACACACAAGCTGTGATTATATTCCATGTTATAAATGACTAAGTACACATTTGGAAATTCACTAATGAGACAATCAACTTCTTCCATCAATAACATCATGTTTTAATATAAAAAAAACTGTCAAACTGAAGCTTTATCTTTGTTAATTATGACTTTGTTAGATCAAAATGTAGAATCTTTAATCAAAAGCAGAATCATTTAATCTTCTCTCTTTATTCTGGCAAACCCAAACTACTGTCAATCTGTTTCTCATTCTTGCATTTGTGTACTGTAGTTCTCAGTTGATCCAGCTAACTTAGAGCTTACTCTGTCTCTGCAATGTGTCGATGCAAAAACAGAATTCTTTGCTCATGCAAACACATCCATAACACGGATGTTAGATTAGAAAAACAAATATTTTGTCATGTCCTCAACTGTCTGTTGTTTTTGTTATCTCAAACCCTCTCCCTTTTTTCAAGCTGTTGGTGCTTGTCTAACAGCTTGGAGACTCCTGTTTGTGTGTGAGAAACATCTTTAAAAATAATTCACACACACTCAAGATTTATAATTACCGGATAGAAGTTATAGTTGTATTCGCACAGTTTACACTCTGCACTTTTTGTGTTGCCATCACAGGTGATCTGACGCCACAAGGTGAAGAGGAGAACACTCAGACTCACCAGACGAAGGAACACTGCCCTATACATAAAGGAGAAATCATTATCAATTACTGACACTAAGTTGTTCTTTAAAGACAAATTTGTCTTATTGAAACATACTTACATACAACATTTACCTGACTGCTATTAAGATCTTACATTAAAGAACATATGATAAGCTTGTAAAATATAATACAAAACTACCCTTTGTCACAGGTTTCAGATGTCTATGAGTGGTTAACAGTTCCACCAAAGGGTGATTACCCTCTAAATCTCTCAGATGGTTTCATTTAAATAACTGTCCGAGGCCCAAAGAGGTAAAATCCAATATTTGACAAAAGGCAAAGATTAGAGTGAAATTAAAAAATAATTGGATTAATCTTGTGAGCTTTTGGAGGGGACCAGACTCCTAGGGGCCAAATACTTTTACTTAGAGTTGTTGTTGTTGATACTGTACTTTTAATTAAGTACAATGCCAGACTATTACATAAAGTGAAGCATTTTTATATTGTTGTATTTGTACTTTAATTTAAAGGACCAGTGTGTTGTATGTACTGGCATCTAGTGTTGTAGATGCAGATTGCGACTCCCTTGCTTCAACCTCCCCTTCTAAATGCAAAGTAGAAACTACAGTGGCAGACAAATCCACAACAAATGCAAAAAGCCCGATCTACAGCCAGGTTTTGGTTTGTCTGCTCTGGGCTGTTCAACATGGCGGCCTACACTGAAGGCGACCGGCGGTGTCTAGAGATAAAGACAGCTCATTTTTTGTTGAAGTGTTTCCATTTGCAGCAGGTTTTGTAAAATCTCTAAGTTGTTCTTCAATTGTTTGCAATTTATCCTTCACAAACAACAATGAACTACAAACAAATGCTCTGACATAATCAATCATTCACAGCAACACCAGTGCAAACCTTAATAGTGCCACTATGACAGTCGTGCTGGGGGCATAACGCTCAATCAGGGCGATCTGGTCACACATCAGCGGTACCAAGAAGTTTCCAGCGGTGATGACAATGGAAGGTAGATACTCGAAAATCAAACCCAGGATTCCTACCTCCCCACTTTTTCCCTGTTTATAAAAGATATAAGCCAAAAGGTCACCCAGACTTTTAAGAGCCGAGATCTGCGTCATCAACTCGCCTTTCACATCATTTACCTGGCTGAACTCCGTGGCCAGGAAGATGCCGTAGAAGGCCCCTATAATCAGCCCAAATGCAACCAAACACATAAGAACGCGTAGAGAGTATAAAACAACTTTTTGTTTTAAAGTCAGAGAGGCTGCCCTTTTCTTTATCCTCTCCTCCTCCAGATCCACCTGACAGAGAAACAGAAACAGAAAAGAGGTGAGACGAGGGGTTCATCTGAAAGCATGTCACTCTGATTAAAAAACGCCACCACGTTTGTCTGTCCTCAGTCCTGCTAAGTAGGACAGATCCCCTCTGACCTGTAGCTGGTAGTGGATGTTTTTCTGCTTCAGTTTGGTAGCTCGGTCTCCCAGGCAACCGTAGTCCCAGCTGGTGAACACTATCATGCTGTAGTTGCCCACAGCACTGCCTCCCGTTGCCACAGCAACTCGAGCTGCAGTCCCCATGCTGTGTGTGAGCAGCCCGTCAGGGAAGAGGATACAGATGCAGATCAAGGTGACTGAACTCTCAGCTCAAGTCTTTAAATGTCATTCTGTTTATTATTTCACTTATTGGCCTGAACCCTCACACACACACACACACAGGCTAGATCTTGATTTTTAGTATTAAAGATGAAAGTGTTTGAGGACTGACCGTGCTATGATACAAATGAGACAAAAAGCGAAGTAGAAGACAGCGGTGAAGAGGTACGCCAAGGGGATGTTGTAGGAGAAGTTGTTGTCGTCCACCATTGTGTTGTTGTAGTAGCCATAAAACATGTATGAATACTCCATAAAACCCTGTACAAAGAGCAGAGGATAGTCACTAAACATGTCTAATGTATTAAATGTTCCTTGAATGTGGTTTAAATGTACTTTCATAAGCAGAAAATATAATAGATGCAGAGCTGTAGCTACTATTGTAGACACTGAGGTCATGTCCACTGTATTTTGGGGTATGTGGAGGATTTTGGGCATATTGATCATCAGCTTTTATTTTGAAATATAAGCCTCAGCTTCAGTATATCCCATTTTGTAGTGTATGTGGCCTTTTTAACTTTATAACCAGGTTTGCTTTTTTGGTGTGGTCATAAAATAGTGGTCACAGACGCCATATTGGATTATTAGAATAAACATTTCACATCAACTTTGTTTTTAAGCAGTAGTTGGACATTTTGGATGACAGACTTAATTGCTTTTTGCCAAGATTTAGATAAGAACTTTGATACCACTCTCATGTCTGTCTGTTAAATATGGAGCTGGAGACCGGAGGCGTGAGCTTAGTACAGCATAAAGACAGGAAACAGCTAACCTGTCTCTGTCTGAAGGTGACAAAATACACGTACCAGCACCTCTTTACTCACTAATTCACATTATATCTTGTTTGCTCTTGGCAGGAAATTACATCTTACATATGTCACTGTGTTAGTATTTTGTCTAGAATCCATTAAATAGTATTAGGATAATTATTATTAAAAAAATAATAATGTGTGGACTCTTGACCTCAGTATTTATACAGTCTTATATAAACATAAACATATACAAAAAGCCAAAGGTGTAAAGAATCTTAATGTCTAATAATAATAATGTTTCGCTATATGTTCTGATAGTCCCACATCTGATGCTGCAGTTTCTCACCGTTCCCGAAAGTAAGTCAAGGATGTAATTATAGAACACCACCAAGCCTTGAGGATTAGGGTCATATTCCATGCATTCCTCTCGACCTAGAAAACACCACAGCGAGAAAGCGTTATGATCTCTGCATGCCTTCATGAGATTACAGTATTTCTATAGGTTTCCCTGCACCTCTCTGAACATATGGGCCATGTAGTCTAATGTTTTAAGACTGGAAGAGGAGAGTAAAAGCTGCAGTGGTGATTAAATGCAGGCCTGTGGCTCACTTGATAGCAGAGGCAGAGGGTCTTAATCCCTGCACTATCATCCAGATAAATCACACAGCTTTAAAAAAAAAACAAAGGGTTTTGTTTGATAAAATGAGTAATCCCCCATTTGACGCATTCTCTTGTTAAAATGACCGAGGCCAAAAATTTTAATACTGCTGGGAGAGTAGGTAGGAAAGTAGCTTAAGGTCCTGGTCCATGTTAAAATGTTTCAACATTATATCTTCTATATTTCACACATACTTACAGATGAATCTCAGATAATTACATCATTATTTGGATGTCATTTTGGGAATAAATCTTCTGCTCATGCACCAGTGATCATATCTTCATTTGATTTCTGAGGGGAATACTACGACTGCTACTCTCCACATTTACTCCAGCCTCTGAGGCCGGGCTGTTGCCTGGAAACTGTTGCAGCAAACTGAGGGAGAAGTCTTCCTGTTTTTATGAGAGAGAATTGTGCTAAAACGCCACGTACAACATGATGTACCACTGTCATGTGTTACCCTCAAGTTAAAACAAAATGCAATGTGTTGAGCTAACAAACTGTAGTAAGTCATTACCGGTGCTGTTAACAAGGCCGGTGCCAACAGATCTGAAGACAATGCTGGGGATGAGGACAAATCCAGCAATCAGTAGAAAGGAAACAAAATTGAGGACCACCAAGAATCGCAGCAACAGGAAAAAGGACTGGACGCCACCTCCAAAGTTCCCTGTTGGGGCAAAAAAGTCATGATCTTTGACCATATTATGGGTGGAGTAACTATCAAATATTCAGCGGAAATTAACAGTTTACCTCCAATCTTTTGCAAGGATTTGCTCCACAGTGCGAAAAAGTAGAGAAATTCTCTGGTGTTGTCTTTGAGTTTACGCAGAGATTTGGCCTTGTTCCGTTTCCATGACTCCCTGCTGGAAACCACAGGAACCTGCATTTGCTGCACCTGCCTGTAATGAAGTTACACTTTAATGATTGTGTCACACATTATGGTTTTTCCCCCATGATACCTTCTAGGCTGTGTAAGTTTGCTATATTTGACAACAATTTAAATAAACATAAATACAATACTTTTATATACAATTATTGTATAATGCTTAAAAAAACAATGTTAAAATAACACTTTGATGCACCTGACCTTTATACTTTTATTAACTAACTGCAAGACATGAAGTATGTTTTCATCCCCAACCATTTATATAACACATTTCCCAACAGCAAATCAGGAGTCTACTTTATTTTCTCAGTTATTATTTTCCTAGTAATGGATTAAGTCTTTCTAAAACATTATTGCTTGTATTATTGCTAGTGTGTGTTAATGTGAGCCTGTTGATACAGTGCAAATTAAATGGGATATGTCTGTGTGCAGAGAGAATATTGAGCTGTTACAGAAATGCCACGACCGTGTGACATTTCTGTCGTATTGACATTCTCTGTCCCCCTCCACTCTTGTAGGTATGGGCAGGATTTTATCACAACTAGTTTTGGCAGCCAATTGTGGTCCAACCACAGAGCATGTAATTAAAAATGGACGTAGTCTCCGTAACGTCGCCCATAAGTGGAGCGTGGGTGGAGCTGAGGCCAGTTGAGCCTGTTACTGAAAATAGCTGCCTGTCTGTAAACATGTTTATTTCTGCTGTAAAGTTGGACATTTTAATATAGGGCCTCGAGGCAGCCTTTTGTTACTTCCATGTTGGCTTTGTTTGCTGCATGGATCCAATATGAAACTCACATAAGGAGAAACTTAAAGTGTCTAGCACACACACACTGATAAACAAGTAGAATGAGAATTAACCAGGCTTTGACTTCAACCTATAATAACTGTTTTTTTGGCCACTTGGGGGCAACGAAAAAAGTTGTACCAAAACAATGACATATTATCACCTTTTAAGTTAATACGGGGAACTTGCTAGCAGTTGCTTACCCAGCACTTACAGAGCAACATTATTATCCCTTTAGAGTTGTGTTTCTGACCAATATTCACTCTCTTTTATCTTAGTTTTGGTCTTCACCAACTTCTGAGTGAACTTATTTTAGCTGCTCAATGCTCTAATATGTTCACTAACTGTGTCTGTCTGCAGTTTGCTGCTGAGCACGTAGTGTAACGTGAATGTTTAGAGTTTATTTTTTGCATAAAACAGGGTCTGTTGTGAGTGAAAACGAGGTTAAGAGCACTGAGAGTGAAACAAAACAGTAAAGTTACCATAAAAGCAAAACAATGTGCTAAAACTCGCTATTAAGAGGAGAGAAGCTCCAGATTTGGATGATCTTTCTCTGTAGGTTCATCACTCTGAGCAACTCCTTTAACAGTGTTACATTGTTTTCATTTGATATATTGATATTATAAAGAAACTTATAACTGATTATAGTTGCTTTACATTATATTTCAAAGCAGATTTATATATGTCGGGAAACATTCTTTAAAAATACACCACCAAACTTTCAGAAGCTGCTTTCATACCGCACAGCTCTTTTCAGCGCCATGTGCAGAGGACTGCTCCTGAGGTCCCGGGGCATCTTACTGTTACCCTCTTCATCCTCCTCTGCGGGAGTCGAGCTCCAGTTGAACTGTGGGTAATTCTGATTGGACACTCGAGATGAAACCTGTCGTGACCTCAGTGACTGCTGGTCACCATGGTAACTATTCCCTGTGAGTAAGTGAGTGAGTGAGTGAGTGAGTGAAAGACAGAAAAACAGCAAAGAAAATTATTAATAATTAATTATTATGCAGTCAGATTAAAAGATGAGTCCATATGTGTTAACAGTAATTATGTAGCTATTCAGTGGATTCAGATATGGTCAAAGTGTTTAAAATAAACAAATATGTACAAGTAAATGTGATCAGAGGTAAAAAAAACAAAAACAACGAAAGACAGACACACCTTCAGTACAGTCATACAACTTACTTGAGCCTTGTCTCTGTGGTTCACTGTCCATTTCTCTGATGCAGGTTAACACGACCAGCTTTAATGCAATCCAATAGTTTAAGTTCAGAATTAAAACTAAACGTGAACCAGCTCGTCACAAGGAAGTGCTACCTAACCAGGAATCCCTTCCCAGTTGTCTTCTCTCACGGACTTTACTCCCTTTGACAATGACCACACAGGTACTTCCTTGTATGATTTAACCCCTTATTTCCAAGGGGATTGTTACCAGTCATTTAACAATTTGCACGGTCTAATAACCAGC